GCCTCAGCCTCCCAAGTAGCTGGGACTACAGGCGCCCGCCACAACGCCTGGCCATTTTTTGGTTGCAGCCGTCATTGTTGTTTGGTGGGCCCGGGTTGGGGATTCGAACCTGCCACCTTAGGTGTATGTGGCTGGCGCCTTAGCCGCTTGAGCCACAGGTGCCGAGCCCTAAACTGAAATTCTAAATTACTTCTTCTCCAGCTCAAAAACCATCCATGGCTCCCTATTACCCAAATATAAAATACACATTCATTGGCATGACATCTGCAGACATTCCAATCTCATCTTGGGCACTTGCCAGCCATGTTGACCTTTCATTTTCTGGAGTGTAGCACATGTCTTCCCTCGTATCCGAGGGCCTTTCTCCTAGAAGTCAGCCCCCTCACTTCCACTGCACTTTAGGTCTGGTAACTACTCAAAGAGAGGGTTCTGGAGTTCAGCTTCCAGGAGTTCTCGCCTATCTTTGCTCTTGCTAACTGAGAGGACTTGGAAAGGTCTCCTAACTTCTCTGTAACATCAGATTTCTCATCTATGAAGTGGGTGTTGGAATTGCAACAACTCTCATAGGTTTGTTATGTGTATCAAATGAGATAATATAGCAGGGCGTGGTGGCTCACGCCTGTGATCCCAGCACTCTGGGAGGCCAGAGGCAGGAGGATCACTTGAGCTCAAGAATTGGAGACCAGCCTGAGCAAAAAAGCAAGACCCTGTCTCTACTAAAAATAGAAAAACTAGCCAGATGTGGTGGTGGGCACGTGTAGTCTCAGCTAGTTGGAAGACTGAGGCAGTAGGATCTCTTCAACCCAGGAGTCTGAGGTAGCTGTGATCTATGATGTACTGTACCCAGGGTGACAGAGTGAAACTCAGTCTCAAAAAATGAATAAGTAAATAAATAAATGAAATAATAATGAAAAGGGCTTAAAATAGCTTGGCAACTGTTACTGCTGCTCCCGTAAGTACTGTGCCTTTTCCTTCTCCCTATTCCCATCTGTTCCATTCGTATCTCTTCACCACAACCACCCTAGTCTAAGCCACATTGTCCCTCATCTCATCTGGACAACTCCAATCTCCTTTTCCTCCCAGCTTCTGCTCTGGACCCCTTTTTTCTTTTCTTTTCTTCCTTCTTTCCTTTCTTCTTTCTTTCTTTCTTTTTTTGAGATATACCATTCTGTCCTTGCTTTTTCTACCTCACTCCTAGATCTTGGAGGTCTTTCCACATCAGTACATAAATCATCTCCTCATTTGTTTTGATAGTTACGTAGTATGGTTGCCTGGATGTACTATCGTTAATTTAGCCAGTCCCCTCTTGCTGGCCACTTTAGTTATCTCCAGTCTTTGTGGGGGAGGGAGGTGCTGCAATGGCAAAGCGTTGAGAGCCATTGCATCTGGAGGATCCTGAAAACCACACAGTGTTAGAATCAGCACTTTTTTCCTGCCTTCATGAAGTCAAGGAGAGGAAAGAAATGAGTGAGCTCATGCCAGGAAAGGAACTTTGTCAGCTGCCACAGGGAGTGAAGATGCAGAGAAAGATCAGAGGCTGGGAGGCTCCTCTTTTGGGGAACTGAGTTATTCTGCAGCCGAGGATTGCTGAGAGCTTGTGAGATTTCATGTGACACACCCAAGGGGCACTTTCAAAATATTAAACAATCTGCTAAGGTGCAGAGGTCCCTGGAGCAGGGTTGGAGACTGCCTCCTGTGTCTAACATTAACCCTTTAGTGACATGGGGGGTGGCCTAGAGTGTGGAGGGCGTATCCCAAAGTAGGAAATGGGAAGCCCAGTACTGGGATGAGTTGCTGAGGGTAGGGAATGTTTACTAATGGAAATATTTAAAAGTTTTAACTTTCTATTTTTGTTTTTTTTGAGACAGAGTCTTATTTTGTCACCCTTGGTACAGTGCTGTGGCATCATAGCTTACAGCAACTTCAAAGTCTTGGGCTCACGCAATTCTCTTTCCTCAGCCTCCCAAGTAGCTGGGACCACAGGTGCCTGCCACAACACCCAGCTATTTTTTTAGAGATGGGGGTCTCACTCTTGCTCAGGCTGGTCTGGAAACTGTGAGCTCAGGGCAATCCACCCTCCTTGGCCTTCTAATGTGCTAGGATTACAGGAATGAGCCACCACACCCAGCCTTTAACTTTCTATTTTGAAATATTTTCAAACTTATAAAAAAGTTATGATAATAGTACAAAGAGACCAGGCATGGT